CAAGGGAAACTACCTGTCTACAATTCCCTTAGCAAAGCCTTTATATCTTAGCATATGTTAATTAGACTTCAGGCTTAAGCCTAAAAATTTATTACACTCCAGGCTTTGTTTCATTTTGTTTATATTTTTAAAGGAAATATATCAAAAAATGGAGTTGAGCTTTATATATTTTGTATAGTTTCCTCTGTTTGGCATAATAGTCAAACTTAACTAACTTCACAATTTCTAACAGTCCAGTTTGTCATTTTCTCTAATTAATTTTTCATCTAAAAGTTGTTGGCATGTGGCTGAGAAGAACGGAAAAAGAGACGTAGTTAAGAGTAGAAAATAATAAGATTCACGAGATTAGGTGGATCAATGCAGATGTTTTTAACTGGAGATTCTGTGAAATGCAAATAGAATCAAACCTGAGGCTTGATCAAATTCAAAAGGATATCCCAAGCAATTCTGATTACGAATCACATCTACATTCATAAATTATGCACTTACAAAGATGAAATGTTTGAAAATATTTTTAAAAAGCAATGTTACTGAGAAATAATAAAATATTAAAAAGGTCTTAAGCAAACAATTTTAGGAAGTAAAATAAAATACTACCAGCTTATATTAAAATAGTGCTTTAGAATTTCCAGAGAACTCTACCTGTATGCCATTATTAGATCATTACTAGAAGCACATGAGAAAGTTGGGGATGTAACACCATGATTTAGTTTCACGTGTGGTGGTAAGATTTTCATATATGTAAATTAACAACACAAATGTAATTTGCACTTAGTTCAAGAAAACAATCACTTTTCTACTTATAAAAGTCTAAAAACTAAAATGCACACTGCTAACAGCCAAGATTAAGTAATAGTCATTTGATATCCACGCTTGAATGTACCCTCCACCCAATAACCCGTCCTCCCCACTATTTGAGAGTCAATGGGTTTAAACTGGAATTAAAATATAAGCACTTTCTGCTTACCCTCAGTAGCCCATTTTTGAAAAATCAGACATTCTATTCAAATGCCAACCAGGTGACAATTTCCAATTATTTTGACTGAGAAAGTTATATTTAAACCCAAATCCCCAATTCCTTACAATGTAACTGAAGCACATTTATACAAGTAATAGCCATCATGATGAAATGTAAAATGATGAGACATTTTCTGCTACTGCATCTAACATTCATAGCATTTTCTATTTATAAAAGGGAGCATTGGGTTTTAAAGATGAGATACACTACCCCTGCCCATCGAGAGCACTCTTCAAAAAATTGGGTATGGCCACGCAAGTAATCAATGATGATGTGAAAATACTATACAAAATAATGGTTTAATAAGATATATTCTTCAATAATTCATGCAATTTGCTTTAAAAAACCCTTATCTTTCCCAAGAGGGAAAAAGATACAATGGAAGACAGGAGACAAAAATATGCCTATGTTTCTTTCTCCATTCCTCCAGTTTACAGTGCTATAACTACCAGGGGACCTGGAATGATCTTATTATCTCTGTAACAGAAAATCTGTGGTTCAGCATCGACTCACCCTTTCTGCTAGCCTCATTCACCATATATACATGGGCTCAATGTTTTCCTTAATCAAGCTTGTTTTCATAAATACAGTTACAATGAATCTTTGGGCACCTTCTTGCAATATTCTTCATGCTATGTTCTCCTAAGACTTGGAAGGATTAACAAGAAGATAAAATCAGAACTTGGACCTAGAGTCCTATTCGTGACTTATGACTAGGGTTGTTTTCATCACACCATCTAGAACATGGCCTTGTGTTGACAGTAACACTTTCTGGAATGGCAAAATGCTCATTGATAACACAAAGAAAAACATACTAAAAATCTGCCTATACCCTTGCTAATTTCATATTACCAAATCACTCGGATTCTTCAGTGTTCTATCTTGGCTCAATCCAATATCTTATAGGTAGTTTTTATTAATAGGTAATTTAATAATTTATCAGTTTAAAAGGTTTTGATCTTTCATGGTCTGGTCCAACTATCACACCTTTACCCTTGCTGCCTCAAAATCAACGGTTTAGAGGGACATACTGGAAACATAATATAAAGTATTTGATTCTGTTGTTGACTGTTATCACATTGACAGTGATAGTAGCATTCATTCCCAGGGGTGCTACATATCCAGTGCAAGGAACAGCTGTTTTACCCAATAGGCCAAAGGCGTTACCTGTTGAGAAGCAGTAGCAGTGACCCAGTCCCAGTTCTAACAACATTCTCTCTATAGAAAACATGGGCACTGATCCTAAAGCTGTCTCTCACTAGCTCTACCATTTTGCTGAAGTCGCTTAGCTTTCTGGGCCTCAGTTCCCTCATCAAAAAATTGGGATAAAGAATGTTGTTTAATTTCTTCTATTTTAAATTACAGTAGGCCCTTCATATCCACAGGGGATTGGCTCCAGGACCCTAGAGAACATCAAAGTCTGAGGATGCTTAAGCCCCTTAATAGGCCCTGCATATCCCAAGGTTCCCTATATACTGTTGGATGAATCATTGGATACCAAGGGTTGACTGTATTTCATATTTTTATTACATTTACATATTTTAACTCCTATCCTATAAACCTTCATTAATGGCAAACCCTTGTTATTCTGTAATTTTTTAAGGTATTAGCTAAATCCTGCAAGTAGTTCCTTAACCCCCTAAATATTAAGGAAACATGTTTAAAACTCCCTTTCCTAAATCCATTGAAGACCCAACAGAATACAATAATGAAAGAATATCAGGAGTTTGATAAGATAGCATAGTTTCTTCTAACGTTCTCAGAAAATTAACATGGGGCTATGCATAATAGATAGACTGAAGTAGGTGATTTTAGCTTTGAATCAAAGAAGCACTGACTGACCCAGAAAAATGAAAAATAAAATATCAAGAGGAAAATAAGTAAGAGATATTCCTCATTCTGAGTTAATAGTAGTGAACCAGGCAGAGAGGAGCTAAGACAAACAGGCAAAAGGGAAAGCACCAAGATGTTACAGCTACCTGAAAACAAGGACTTTATAAATTCAGGACTGTACACCAGTTGCCAGGCTCAACGCTTTGTATGAAGAAATGTTGGCTACACAATCCACTTTCTGATTTTAACAAAGTTTTGGTATTTTAAATTTCTGACTTTACTAGATTCCCAGTTTCACCTTCATTGCAAACCCAGACCAGGTGGGGAGGGGTGTATTTGAAAATGAAGATAACCGCCTTTCAATTGTGAAAGCGCGGTGTAAAGGCTGTTTAAGTTGGAGATAATGGCTTATATGAATCGTGTGTAATGTTGCATTAACTTGTTGTAATTATCATCATTATTAAAACTACAGCCAAACACTCACCATGTGCTCTACAGGGCACATTAACTGTATAAAAGACATCATCTGTGCCCTCTAGGAACTTAGACTAAAAGTTCAAAGCAGTGAGTTCAACACTGATACATGAAGAAAGTGGATTATACTGTATTGACCTAGAACTAGGCAGTTCAAGAATTAGAAGATTCAGCTAAATCTTACTTTAAAAACTAAACCTCAACAAATATAATTTAGTTTTTAAGGTTAAAATAAAGTGAAGCAGGAAATATAAGAGAAATTCATCAAGGGGCATTAACTCAAAAATTTCCTCTATCCTTGACCCTCATTTTACCGCCTAACATATAAAAAGGCTGGCTTCCCCTCTGTTCTTATCTTGGATAGGTGTGATCAGGCTGGCACTTCTGATTTTGGCAAGCCAGCAGCATTAAAGAAGGGGGAGAGGAGTCACACCTGACCAGATCTTCAACTTGTTTTTTGAGTATGCTTGTCTCTGCCTCTCTCACTGTTTCTTCTGCTGCTGCAAATATGATTAATACCTATGCATTTGTAAAACTCTGCATTGTAAGCAAGGCTGTGACTTTTCCATCCCAACGAGGTTGAGGTATGGAGTTAATGAGAAGGGAGACTGTGGGGAATGAACAGGAACATGCCAATGTTAAAGTAATTGAGCATGAATATCAAACACTGACTTGGGAACGGTCTTCATTTGCTGAGGGAAAGTCTGATCAGCTGGTGGGCAGATGGGATGTGCAGAGACCTGCATTCACCACCAGCCCCAGAATTTCCATATCATCACAGGACATACCTTATAAGCAAAGCACCTTTGTGTTTCCACCTAGAATCATGTTTCCTTTTTTTTCTCTTCATTTTCCTACCTTTTTCTCTTCCCTCCTTCCTTTCTGAGAAAGGCTCCTTCTCCTCTTTATGAATTATCTCATCTCCCCGCAAGCCTCATGAAGAATTTAAAGTTTTGTGATTTCAATACCTGATGTTTCTTTTTTAAAAAATACATACTTTACTAATGCCAGTTTAGAATTAAACACAGATGACGGTGCTGTGGCTAGTATTACTAATGCTCTAATTTTTATTTGAAAAACTCTTCACTGTCTTCCAAAACCACTGAGATCTTAAATTACTGGTTACTTTAATACACTCCCACGTGACTTATATCATTCCCAATTAGATCATTGATATGTTCTTAAGTGGCAAGGATCTTTGAAAGATTTGCATAATAATGAGAAAATTAACACCTTTTCAAAAGATGTAGGTTATTACCAATCTCAAGTTGTAGCGAATAGTTTTACTCAAAACAGAGTAATAATAATTTCAAGAAAACTAAATGTTAAAGAAAAAATGTTAGTCCTAAATTCCAGTGAGTACACAATTATGCATTTTTACAAAAATTCATTTACAAAGATGATTTTAGCAGAGTTTACAAAACCAAAAAATGCACACCTGAAATGTACATTAATTGGGAATTGGTTAAATGAAATAAGACACATTCATTAAATGAAGTTAAAATGATCCATGAGAAATGTATAATAATGAGAACATAGACAACAATTGTGTATTATTAAATGAGCATATATAAATTATAAGCGCTTTTTATATATGTTTAAAAGATTAATTTTTACATAATGGTAATAAAATTTCCCCAAGATTGTGTTCCAACTTGTCATTTTGTAAGTTCCAATTTTTTTTCCTCATTAAACTTTTTTAATGGGCCTCAAAATTCTGCGACAAATTTTTGGTCAAGTTGTTTCCATTAAAAAGTACTGATTTTAAAAACTAGTAACTTAAAACTGTCACACACAAAAAAGAAAACCAACGTGGTCCACAAAACATTCTCCTTTCCTTCTGTAGGTTTTATGATGCATTGTTATCATTAACCAGTCTTTTACTACTACACTTAAATGGCCAATTGAAACAGTTCTGAGACCATTCTTCCACCACTGATTAAGAGCTGGGTGGGAGGTATTAGGGATAATACTCATTTAGCCTTCTGAGCTTTCTGGGGAGACTTGGTGACCTTGCAGCCTTCTTGTCCACTGCTTTGATGACACTCACAGCAACTATCTGTCTCATAGCACGAACGGCAAAGCAACCCAGAGGTGGATAGTCTGAGAAGCTCTCAACACACATGGGCTTGCCAGGAACCATATCAACAATGGCAGCATCACCAGACTTCAAGAATTTAGGGCCATCTCCCAGCTTTTTACCAGAACAGCGACCAATCTTTTCCTTCAGCTCAGCAAACTTGCATGCAATGTGAGCCGTGTGGCAATCCAGTACAGGGGCATAGCCAGCACTGATTTGGCCTGGATGGTTCTGGATAATCACCAGACTAATGAAGCCAGCTGCTTCCATTGGTGGGTCATTTTTGCTGTCACCAGCAACGTTGCCACACGAACATCCTTGACACACACATTCTTGACATTCTTGATATTGTCCCCAGAAGAGCTTCACTCAAAGCTTCATGGTACATTTTGACAGATTTTACTTCAGTTTTAACATTGACTGGAGCAAAGGTGACCACCATACTAGGTTTGAGAACATCAGTTTCCACTCGGCCAACAGGAACAGTACTAATACCATCAATTTTGTAGACATCCTGGAGGGGCAGGTGAAGGGGCTTGTCAGTTGGACGAGGTGGTGGCAGGATGTGATCCACGACCTCAAGCAGTGTGGTTCCACTGGCATTGCCATCCTTACCGATGACTTTCCATCCCTTGAACCAAGTCATGTTAGCACTTGGCTCCAGCCCATTGTCACCATTCCAACTAGAATTGGGCACAAATCCTACTGTGTCAGAGTTGTAGCCAGTTTTCTTAATGTAAGTGCTGACTTCCTTAACGATTTCCTCGTATCTCTTCTGGCTGTGGGGTGGCTCAGTGCAATCCATTTTGTTAATACCAACAATGAGTTGTGTCACCCCCAGTGTGTAAGCCAGAAGGGCATGCTCTCGGGTCTGCCCATTCTGGGAGATACCAACTTCAAATTCACCAACACCAGCCGCAACAATCAGGACAGCACGGTCAGCCTGAGATGTCCCTGTAATCATGTTGTTGATGAAGTCTCTGTGTCCTGGGGCATCAATGATCGTCACGTAGTATTGCTGGTCTCAACTTTCCACAAGGAGATATCAATGGTGATATGACGTTCATGCTCAGCCTTCAGTTTATCCAAGACCCAGGCATACTTGAAAGAGCCCTTTCCCGTCTCAGCAGCCTCCTTCTCAAATTTTTCAATGGTTCTTTCGTCGATGCCACTGCATTTGTAGATCAGATGGCCAGTAATGGTGGACTTGCCCGAATCTACGTGTCCAATGACGATAATGCTGACATAAGTCTTTTCCTTTCTCATTTTGGCTTTAGAGGTAGCCTTCATGACACCTGTGTTCTGGCGGCAAACCCGTGGCGAAAAAGTGTAAGTTTCCACTTTGAATGTATATTACAATTGCTAAAATAAAACACTATAAAAGGTAACCAACCAATGAGTTTATCAATGTCTTCCTATACATCGTGAAAATTGGAAACAACATAGAAAAAGCAACCATATGAGAAAGAGTTTAACAATGTCTTCCTATACATCATGAAAATTGGAAACAACATAGAAAAAGCAACCATATGAGAAAGATCTTGAACAAAAAAGTGTTTATAATTTACCTTAGTAGCGTAGTATTCTCTGACTTCAGGCCTAATAGAATCAAAGTCTCCATTGATGAATTCAGGCAAAAAGCTGAAAGAAATAGTAAGTCAAGTAAGTCAAATAGTTATTTCTATTTATTTTTGAAACTTTAAAACTGTGGCCAAGTGTCGTGGCTTGCAACTGTAATCCCAACACTGAGAGGTTGAAGCAGGAAGACTGCTTGAGGCCAGGAGTTCAAGACCAGCCTTGGCAACATGGCAAGACCCTCTCTCTATAAAACAATTAAAAAATTTAAAAATGGGCATGATGGTGCACACCTGTAGTCTCAGCTACTTGGGAGGCTACACGGGGAGGATCACCTGAGCCCAGGAGTTCGAGGATATAGTAATCCATGACAGCATAACTCCAGGCTGGGTGACAGAGCAAGACTCCATCTCTAATTTAAAAAATAAAAAATAAAACTGTGATTATAAGGACCAAAGAGAAAAGTAATATACTCAGAACAAAACCAAAAACACGGGAACTATTTTTAGAGAGAACAGGATGTTATACCATATACTCCTGGTTTCAATGACGGAGGCAAACAATCGGTATCCAACCAATTCATCACCCGAGTCACAATGTCAGAGAATACTTATCGTTTTCAACAAATACATAAAAATTAAAGGTAATTGGTTTAAAAAATCCTGACAGAAATACTCATCTTTGCATATTACCTTGTACATATATATAAGGTTTTACATTATTGCACCTCACCCAAGTTCAGAAATTTCAACAGATAGGAATAGAACAAATGATCACGAGGATTCTTTGAAATTCTGTGCCAAGCAAGAGTCAGTTCAAAGACATTTTCCAAATATTCTATCGACATATGTCTAGAAACAGGAATCTTTTAGTTAAGTCTGAAATACTACAAGAGTCAAGGTTATTAAATATAGAGAGAGATTCCCAGATGTGGTTGTTTCTAATAATATTACTACTGCCTTTACTTTTCTCCCTGCTATATTTTTAAGTCATTTTAGAAAGCATACCTTACTCCATCTATTATACATAAGCCATCATTTGCTATTTTTACATAAAATATTTACATGACCTGGTAGAGTTTCTTCCCACTTAAAACACCTAATTGTAGAGAAATAAAACATCCCTGATTTCTCAGTAGTATGCAGAAACCCTTAGCCTGCTGAGCCTCAGAAATGTATATGATACAAAGAAGGGAACGGTTGCTTTCACTTCCTGTAAAAATATTCCACCCTTCACATGCCATGAGAATTAAAACTGTAACCATTTATCTAGTTAATTGCTTTGATTCAAAATACTAAAACTTCCTAGGTCTTCTCAAGAGGGCCAAATTGTTATCTGATGAACTAGGTCCCTAGCTAAAGAAGACTGAGGTGTTATATTTCTGGGTATTACATGTCAAAAAAGGTGAAGCCCCAGAACTTGCAGAAAACTCTATGTCATAATATATAAAACATGGGGGGTGTCATCTGGCTCCTGGAGACATTTTATTAATATACCAAAGGGGTTAGGATTCAGGTCCAGAAAATTTCTAAGGAGACCCTTTCAAGAGGGGAGAAACACAGCTGTATATTCTACTTAGTAATAAGAAAAATAAAAAATAAAAATATATTGCCTTATCCTTCACCTATGGGTGTGCAACTACCAGCAGAGGACAATGGACCTGGCCGTCACTGCTTGGGCCAAGGGGTAACAAACTAGGGCAAAGGGGACGAATGTTATGACACATCTCTCTCAGAAAATCTGATGTGTGAGTTCAGAAGAAAATTAATACAGACAAAATTTGGGGAAAAAAAATACTAACCTTGTCCTTTAGCACATTTCTTTTTGTAAGGTTCTTGACTCAATTGGCAATATTATTTCTGAAGTCAAACCTAATCTAACTGATATCTGTGTTGGGCCACCTCTTCTTTGTGTTACCACAAAGATCTGTACCACATAAACTCCTTAGCTCGGATGAGCTAGGCCCAACTATTTTTTATTAGTTAATTCATTCTACAAATATTCTCTGAACACTAACTATATGCGAAAGACTACAGCTAATTTCAGAAAAAAGTAGAACTGGAAAGTAAATGTGAGTACTTAGGTGTTTAAATCACATCTGGTTTCAACATCTTCCCATAAGTTTTCTTCCTGGAAACTTCCCTGTACACCGTATCTATTACTTTCAATTTCATTTTATACCTATTAAGGTAAATAATTTATACCTTACCCCTGATAGGACCAAAAATGGACTATTAAGTTTTTTCTCTTTATTTTTTCTTGTCGTATGAATTCATTCATTTTCAAAGTTTCTTTAAATGCTTCCACTCATCACCATATAACTGCGTGCAAATTAATACTCAGATGAATCACAGAACATTAGGGCTGGAAGAAATAAAAGAAATTACCCTTCTAATATCCTCTTTATCCTTTCTGAAGAACTGAGACCCAAGACGTCAAGGGCATTTTATCTGTAAAGCCAATGTCCAATCTATTTCACCAAGTAAAGCAACCATTTAAAATTAGGACTCTGGGTCTGGTTCAAGCAATATCCTGGGAAGACCGACCTTATGTTGCTCTCCAAATTTTAGTCTCTCAGATCTCTAGAACCAATTTGGCAGTTTCCAAATAGTATATTGATTTTGTCAATAAATAAAAATGAAAAATTAAAGCTGATACACACAGGCAACTGAGCATCTATCCCCTTAGGGACAAACCATCCTGAAGACAATGAGGTCTCCCTATATCTTACACTGTTGAGTAATGAAAGGAAGCATTCATGCAAATTTACTTATATTTTAGTGGAAAATATTAATAGGAACACAAACTTATATAAGTAGTAGATACCTAACTTCTGGTAACTTTTAATAAAATTTTCTCCAATGTAACATGTATGCTTTCAAATTGAATCAAGATGCTTATTTCTAAGAAGACCCATGCCAAAAATACACCTGGCATTCATGCTGAGATGACTAAAATAATTATAACTTTTCGTCATATAATGCACTCGTTTTTGAAACTTGCTGAAATGTACTTTTTGACGCTGCAATTAAAAGCCCATCTCACTTTTCCTGAGGTGCCTGTTGCCATGGTGCCTGGGCATTCTGAAGAGGTACTTACTGAGGATGACACTTCACAGATGTAGAAGAGCTACGTTATGATATAAATGACAGTTTACACAAGCAGATTATTTTCAGAACTCTTTGGGGACTGATTACACATAGCAACTGACTAGGGGTATATGGATTTGTGTAGCCACTGACCATGTTTCTACCTACTGTCGACTTAGGCACACCGATCTATCTTTTCTTTGCTATTCTCAATCTATGAGAACTGACTTGTTAGTACTGAAAGGTGTTCCAAACTCTCCACAAATGGCCCAATCAGACTCCTTTAACATTTTCATTTTAACTCTTACCATACTGGTCACTCATTCATTACAAAATAAGAGTCTAAAAAGTACTGAGATCAATTAGTGAACTTAAGATCCATCACACGTAATAATCAAGAGGGAGGCTGATAAATTTAGGAAATATTCTAAATATAGTAGAGTAGATAGAATATAACTACTGCATTTACAGGGCCTTTCCTGATACTATTGAAGGAGACTGTCCCTCCATAAAGCTGTTTGTTTTGTTTTGTTTTGCCCCCAGGAAAGACACTATTGTTCCCTTAAAACTTGAATGCCACTAAAATCTCTTACTTTCCATTTCATTTTAAGCAAGTTCTATGTCCTCTAGCTTCTAATAGATGGTAAGGCCTCTGAAGCAGGATCTGTCTCTGATTGATCTTGGTATGCCCCAAAGGATGAAGGACACTGACACTGAAAATGATATAATAAGATGATGAGGTAGAGAAGGAGAAAGGAGGGAAGAAGGAGGAAATGAGGCAGGGGCTGAAAGGGAGAGAAGAGGAGTAGGAGGAACAAGGAGAAAAGGAGAAAAGGAAAGAAGGGTGAAGAGGGGGGAAAGGGTGAAGTGGGGGAAGAAGAGATAGGAGGAGGTGGAAAATGGTACAAAGAGGAAAGCCAGGAGATGAAAGGAAGGACTAGAGGGGAGTAGAAAAGAAGAATGAGGAAAGAAACATTTACCAGGCATTTATGATTACAACTGCCCTTCCCCCCACTCCCTAGCTTGTGCAGATTATTTAAGCTTTCTGAACCTCATGTCTCCATGTATAAAATGAGGATAATTTAGAGTGCTTGTGAGGATTAGGAGTTAATATATGTGAAGCACTTGGAAAATGCCTGGCACACAGTAAGCACAGTTTGAGCTGTTCAGCTCAAAGAAAAATTACTGCAAGTGAAGTTAAGTAGTTTGCCCTAGATTATAATAAGAAGTAGAGCCAGAACTCAAACCCAGGCAGTTCAATCTTTGTTATTTAATGGCTAAGTATACAGCCTCCCACATACACGCATTTACGAAACAGCACAATGACGCTTTTGGCAGAGAACGTCCTCTGCATAAATGTACTCTTTCCTGCTGATTTTATTAATCACTAGTAATTTGGTCAACCTATATAGTTTATAAAGGTTTCCCTGAGGCACAAGAGAAAAAGGATTTGTGCTAGTGGTACCAGAAAGAAGGACAGGATTTTGAGGACAGACTATGTTAGGAGAAGAAAGTTTGGGAATATTGTTGGAGAAGAGCATGACTACAGACCTAGAAAGACAGTAGTAGTTGGTCTGAAAAAAGAAGGAATGAATCATTTAAATATTTGTGCTAATATTCTCCGTAAAATCATATAAACTTGGTGGTGGGGGAACAAGAGTGACACAAAATATAATATATAAAAATGTTACCACATTTTAACTGTGTTTAGAAATACAATCAGCGCAACTATTTTCAATAAATAAGTCTCTAAATATAATAATAGTGCCAAAAGATATGTAAATATTTGTGTAACTTTGGGTAAAAGACATTCTTAGGAAAGACAGAAAACACAACAATAAGTAAGCTGACAGATTCTGTAAAAATGTAGCAATATGTTAATAAAAAGATAAGGTCAAATTATAACTTTTACATATGTAAAATATATAACCCATAAGAACTGCTGTCCTCAAGACACAGAGAGCATCCAAAAGTGGT